GGACCCCGCCAATCTCTGCGTTGTCCCCCCGTTTCTCCACCCCATGCGCTTCCTGCGGGGGGTTCTTGGGGGGCCCCAGGGGGGATTCAGGGCAGTTCCCAGGGTTTCCTCCGTCCCCTCTCCCGCCGCTCTCCCTCGGTCACTGTCGCATCTCCCAACCTGCGTCACCGGCTGTTGTGACCGCTGAGTGCCCCCGGCACCGGGACCCCCTGCACGTCCATTGCTGAGCTCCTGGGCCCCCTGAACCCCCATTCCCGGGCATCGGAATCCACTGCACCCCCATTCCTGAGAACGGGGATCCCCTTGAACGTTCTTTACAGTCCATTGGGACCCCTCCCCATACTCCCTTATCTCTCACTGGGGCCCCCCTGAACCCCCAATGCTGGGCAGTGGGACTGCCCTGAACACCCGTTTCTGGGCACCAGTGCCCCCTGCACCCCGTTACCCAGCAATGGGACCCCCAGACCCCACTTTCTTCAGACTGTGTACTCCTGGATTCCCCTTCCCTAGGGGACAGGGACCCCCCTGGATCCCCCATCCCACCTCTCCCAGTCCCTTCCTTGAACCTTGGACCCTTCCCGGCTCTCCCAGTTCTGCTTCCTGACCCTCGGACACTGCCAGACCCCGCCAATCTCTGGGTCCCCCCAATTCCCCACCCCCTGTGTGTCCTGTGGGGGGGTCCCATGGGTTCCGGGAGGGTCCCTGGGAGGATCATATGGGATTCCAGCGGAGATCCGGGGGAATCCCCAGGAAGTTCCCCCCTGAACTTCCATTCTGAGGCACTGGGACTCCCCTGCCCATCCTTATCCTGCCCCAATCCCCCTGCACCCCCTTTCCCAGCCATCCCGCTTTCCCCAATCTCTCTTTTTTCTTGACACTGAGACCCCCTGGACCCCATTCCTGCTTTTCCCAGCCCCCAGCCCCATCTTTGCATCCACACCTCCAGGATCCCCTTTCCTGGCTATCCCGGCTCTCCCCACCCTGTGACCCCTCTTTCCTCAACACTGGGGACCCCTGGATCCCCCTTTCCTTGGTACAGGGACCCTTTGGGTTCCTTGATCCCATCCCTGCATCCCCCTCTCCTTGGCCCTGGCATCCCCAGATCCCTTCCCAGCTCTCCCATTCCCCCTTTCATTGATCCATGATCCCCCCAGACCCCCCAAATCTCCGTGTCCCCCCAGTTCTCCACTCCCTGCGTTACCGGGGTGTGGCAGTGTCGGAGCCCGGCCCGGGGGTCCCCCAGTTCATGGTCATGGGGTACCTGGATGGGATCCCCTTCGTGCGCTACGACAGCGAGCGGGGCCGGATGGAGCCTCTGACACCATGGATGAAGGACGGACCCGAGCCGGGATATTGGGATAGGGAGACCCGGATTGCAGAGGGGCACCAGCACCTGGCTATTGGGAACCTGGAGATGCTGCGGGGCTGGTACAACCAGAGCAGGGGTGAGTGGGGGGAGCTAGTGCTGGAATGGGATCTGTGGGGCTGGAAAGGGAACTGTGGGGCTGGGATGGGACCTGTGGGGCTGTAGTGGGGATACATGGGGCTAGGATCAGATCTATGGGATTGAAATGGGAGCTGTGGGACTGGAATGGAGATCCATGGGGTTAGGATGGGGATCCATGGGATTCGGATGGGATCTGTGGGGCTGGGATTGGATTCACAGGGCTCCAAGGGGCTGAGATGGGGATCCATTAAGCTGATATGCAGTATCTTGCGATCCATGGGTTTGGGATGTGGACCCATGAGGATCCAAGGGGCTGTGGGTCTCCATCAGACTCTGGGGCTCCATAGGGCTGGAATGGGGCTCTGTGGATCTGTGACACAATTCCATGGCTCTCTGTGGGTTCAATCCCCTCCAGGTCTTCACACACTGCAGTGGGTTTCCGGCTGTGACCTCCTGTCTGATGGGAGCGTCCGTGGATTCCGCCGGGATGGCTATGATGGGCGGGATTTCCTGTCCTTTGATCCGGGATCCAAGAGCTTTGTGGCGGCCGACAGCGCTGCCCAGGTCACCACGAGGCGCTGGAATGGTGACAATAACTATATAGATTATAGGATGGATGACGTTGAGTACACCTGCAGGGAATGGCTTCTGAAATTTGTCAAATACAGGAAGGAGGAGCTGGAGCGCAAAGGTGGGGGCAGAATCCCTGTGGGAATTGGGGATTTGGGCATGGAGGACTTGGGAACATGGGAATTCCTGTGGGAATTCCATGGGCAGATCTCACCCAATCCCATCCCATGGAATTCCATGGGCAGATCTCACCCCAATCCCATCCCATGGAATTCCATGGGCAGATCTCACCCCAATCCCATCCCATG